CTTAATGGTTTATTTATTTTTAGGGGAAAATATTCGGTTAAATTATTTTTCTTTCTCTTTTTTTTAAATTTTAATTTTACATTTGTAGGTGTTGTAATTGGTGTTGGTACTGTGGCATTATATTTTACGACATTTATCACAGACAGTATTAAGCAGAAACAATTGAATATATTTGAAGAACAAGTTTCAAGGTTTTTCTTTTTCTTTTCTTCTTCAAAGTAAAAAAAAAATAAATGAATTACCACTTTTGTTTTTTATTTATTTTTCATGAACAAAATCAAAATTTAAAATATAATCGAAATTTATCAAACTTAAATACATATAATTAATAGGAAAGAGCATGGCGATTAGAAATTTCACTACCAATTCATATTTTTGCTACATTTTTAGTGTGAAATTTATGAATGTTTAAATTTATGCTAAGAATGAAAAACCAGTAAATATATTTATAAAGGAAATTACGAAATGAATATTTCAGAGAAGTACGCAGTCATAATAATAATCCAAACAATACAATAACATTTGTCGTGCATGGTGCGCATACAGTAAGCGGTGAAATACGCCGAGGAGTTCAATTAGTACTTCCTTATTATTTTACAGGTTATTTTTTAATTTTTTAACTCTCAAATAATAAAAACAAATTCACATTTTAATTTGTCACTTTATGCTACTTTTTGTTTTTCCTTCTATCAACAAGAAATTGAAAATTGAAATTTATAATCATTTAAATAGATCATGAATGTTATCATCATATAATAATTTGGGTACAAATGATATCACTGGATAATTTAACTAGAATTTGAGTACACAATGACATTATTGAATAATTGAATCATAATTTAAATAGATAATGATGACACTGAGAAAATTCATTTATAATTTGAACAAATAATAATAACGAAGTTTAATAATCCAATTTTAATTTGAATAGATAATGATATCACTGAATTTTCACACTATCAAAATTATCATTAATGAATCGATCATTTCAGGAGCTCTGTTACTAATCATTTTTGTTGTTACAAGTTTAATTTTGGCAGCATTATGCTATTCATATCCAATGAAACGCTTACAACTAATTTTGCCGTTAGCAGCGATCATTTCACCGATCCTAGCAGCAATATCAGCCATTGATCTAATACTTTTGACTGGTTATCATATCAATATGTTAATTCTCGTATCACCTTTTTTAACATTAGCCACAGGTATAGGTAAGCCATTGCATATGCTTTACTTTTCCCGTGCTTTGTTAAATTTAACTATGGTTATAGGTACAAAAGAATAAATTTGCAATTTTAACAAATAATATTTCTTTATTTGCAAATAAAAATTTGAAATTTTTGTTAATATAAAATAATTTGCAAAATTTCATTTAATTAATTTATTAATTGTAGCCTACCATTATTTGATTTACTTACATTAATTAATTTTATTCTTATTTACTATCTCAAAATTAGTCATCTTCCTTAATTTTGTTATAATTTAAAATTTATTAATCATCTTTTCTCTATCACAGTTACCATGATCATTAATAACTATTCAACAATAATTTGAAGCAACAAATTTAATTGTTTGCTGGTGATGCAACTGCATTCTGCATGCTCCGGAAAGTGTTGTATGATATTTAACTGCCCTAACTGTTCCGTTTTATTCTATTTGTAAATGAACACAACGATATATGATTTCCTTTTTTCCTTATCTTTATTCTATACTTATTTTTTATTCAATCTTTATGCATTCTTTTTTATTTGTCTTCCTCTCGATAGCAACTCGTTCCCTATTGTTTTATTTATTTATTGTTCATCCAATTTTCATGCTTTTCAATTTCCTTTTTTTTTTGGCATTAACTTTATAATGCTTATTATTTTGCTTTGTTTATTATTTAACCAAATATTTATCAAATACATCCAAAGTGCTTAAATTTTCATCCAAATTTTATGCTATTTTTCCTTTTTTTTTTTTTAAACTTTGATACATTTTTTCTTAATTCATCTACAAGAAACCATCTATTTACGCTAATTTAAATTTCGGAATTAATTTTAAGGTGTTGATGATGCATTCTTATTAACAAATACATGGCTGAAATCAGTAGCAATTCCACATGCCTTAACAACTGCTGAAAGGTTATTTGAAATTCACTTAAATTTTTTAAACTTTTTTTTTAAAAATAAAATTTTTTTTTGCTATTTCACATTTAATTAAACTATTCAATGAGATTTTTTCACATTTTTTTTTTTTTAAATAGTATTACAGACAAGTTTATCAGTATTTCAGATTACAGTTCGTGCTAGAAAAGGTTGGAATAGGTATAACAATTACTTCACTAACAAATTCTCTTGGATTTACTTTGGGTTGCATTGCGCCAGCACCTGAAATACAACTTTTTTGCGCTACAGTATCACTTTCCATGTTACTTGATTTACTGTTTCAAGTGAGTGAAATTTTAAAAAGAAAAAGAACTGATTTCCTTTTTTTTTTTAAATAAAAGAAATTTAAAACAGCAATTGCAATTCTAGATTAATACAATTATAAATGTAAATTTAATTTCAATAGGCAAAGAATGCAGAGCAAGTATACATATATACATATAAACTTATGATACTTCTTTTTTTTATAAATTCGTAAAATATTATGGAACAAAAAAATCTTTTTTTTTTTGAAATTTCAAAGATGATTAATTTTCAATTCTTGTTTTATTAGCTTTTCTTATATGCGCCACTGCAAGTATTGCTAACGCATGATGAACCAGCCATTGTCTATAAACAAATCAGAAAGGATCAACCGAAATTATTTGAACGAATGAGGCAAAATATTTCTTCCATTTGTAAATGTAGGAATTTTCAATTTAAATTTTTTGAATCTAATTTATTAAAAATTATTCATATAATTATAATAAACTTCATATTTTACTTGTTTTCTTTTTTAGTATCCTTCATTGGCCTTCAATAATTTATAAATTTCATGCACAAAAAAAAATAAATTTTACATATTGTGGTATATTCATACATAAATATATTTATGTAATATATCCTGATTATTTATGCTATGATCCTTATCGATTTTTATATTTATAAACAAAAAAAAAATTGCTAAGTAATCAAAGCGAAGTTTCATTATATTAGTATTATTTAACTTTATAACGTTTATTTTTCCCAAAAAAATTTATTGAAATTTGTGTTCACATCAATTATTT